GGTCCTGCTTGCTGTAAGGAATCATGTGATGTAAAGTTCATCATCGACCCATGTCTGCAAATATGTGCACAGGCTCTAGAAGTCGAAAGGAGCGCGCATGCACAGAGTACAGACTGTAGCGCGTGTGCAGTACGTGCGTGCCGTCAAGCCTGCATCCCACCAATTTTGCATCTGCACTGACATTAAAGTGAAGCTGCTTTTGTCTATAAAGACTTTAATGCTGGCGCATTCATTTATAATGCAAACACTTGAATCAAAAGGTGGCACTAAAAACTAATAGACCCATGCCAGCCTGTTAGAGTTTAAAAAAATCATGACTGTAAAAAAGCTGAAATGAACAGAAGGCGCGCCAGTAGGCGCATATATCTCCTTTTTGCAGTTAAGTTATTCACTATACAGGTGGAATAAGTGAAGTGGAAACAGGCAAACAAAATGCTTTTGACAGTGTAATGAGACAACTGTCAAAAAATCCCAACGACCAACAGAGTGCTGGGTGTAAACGAAGAAAGCGAGAAGGGAGACCGTAGAGAGAGAGAGAGAAGGGGGACGTAATCTCCCATCACATTGCAATTCACTAGTGTGACTGTGTTTAAACAGATATGGTGCTGAAAGCCAAGAGTGAAACCAGCATTTTTCTCATTAGCACAACAATGTTGGCTTCCTTTGCACCTAGTTTGCTTCAGTGGGTACAAATGAGATGTTAGCAGCAGTGGAGAAGGAGACCGAGACAAGACAAGCAAGCACAAGCAAATAAAGACAGAAAGACAACAGCTTCGGGTAAGCTGATAGAGGAAATCAGTGCGAGGCAAAGCTAGATATTTTCCCAGTGTTGTGCGCTGGCTCATAAATGCACTGACATGAGTGACAAATGTGAATACATCCATACAGCATGTGCATTTTAGTGTATTATATGAACGGCGGAAGGGGAACCCAGCCTCAGATTCATTCTCAGATTGCTCTAATTACAGTCAACAGAGGAGCACGTCAGTGTGTATTAACCAACTAGACTCTGTGCGTGCTTCTGTGTGTTTGTTTGACATTGAATTAATACCATTAAGGCCACAAAGCATAGACAGAGACCCTAAATAAACACAATAACACACTAACACACTCTATTTTCCAGGAGGCTGAGTTGCAATATATATTCATGAACCCAAAATGCAATGTGGATTCTGTCTAATAACACCACGGAGGAAAGACTGAGTAATATGTGTCTAAACTCAGAGTGCAGACCCGGATTAAAGAGTGGTGATTAATGCTCAACAGTCTCCCACTTTACCCCCAACCTACCGCCTAAGTCTTAAGGTGGCTCAGGTCTTTCCTGGCGGAGGACATAAGGCTGTTGCGCTCCGTGTGTGACCTTGCTGGTCCCGCCAATGTGCTTTGAGTTTCTTATTTCTTCTTTTGATGTGCGTGTGTCTATTCAATTGTGCATTTCAAAACACAGACCTTGAGCTGATGTGGACAAATGAGTCGGATTGGCAAGCTTTATTTTAAAGAATTAGAAAATGAATCAAGCTGACCGGTTTGTTTGAGTTTCTGAGCTTTTGCTTTTATGTGCTGATTTATTTATTTTTTTTGCCTTTGAAACTGAGCATTTGCAATGAATGAAAATGTAATGAATTCCTTAAACTCATCCAGTGTACTGCTATGAAACAAATGCAATTTCTGATAAAAGGTCATACACTTAAAACTTGTTTAACTGGTGACGGATGAAAAGGAAGCGTGAAAGCAGTGTAGTTTGATCTGAAGCTTATGAAGTTTTTATAGGTTTAGTAAGTCTGTGGATCTGCATTTAATACTGTTAGCAAATGTACACTGAAATCTTTCTTTCTCACATTCATCCACTGATTTATTCCTGTATTTACGTTATATTAACACAACCAGATACGTCATTATCAGTATAGATGTATTCTCCAATGGACGACCAGACTCTCCGGAGAGCAGCTAACAAATTAATCGAATGCACTTTCCCCTTTGAATCTCTTTGTGTAGATCAGATGTGTGTAGCCCAGTGTATTCTGACCAAATGTACAAATGTGTTGTGTACCTGTGTGCAAACATGCGTATGATAGCTCACGTAAGTGTTGCTGCCCTCGCAGTGTGAAAGGTGAGGGGGTTAAAGAAGTCAAATAAGTGCTATGAGTCGTATTGATTGGAAGATACTGGGCGTTGATTATAAGCCCTGTGAAACCAGACAAGGAGTTAACGCTCGACTGCAGAAAGATATTGATAGGCGAAAAGCAACCATTCAACTTCTGTTCTTTGAAACTGGCTTTTGTTTTGTCTTTGCTGAGAAATTGCAACAACAGTGCTGATGCTATTTTAGCAAAGGAGTGAGAGAGGAGTGAGTGAGTGGGACATCTGTGAAACCAGCCTAGTGACTGAGTCTGGACATTCAAGTTTTTTTTTTAAGACTCTGTTGTATTAGGTGAAGCAGACTGAACTGAGTGGAAATAAAATCAGTGTAAAATCAAACACACAGCTAATATAAAACATTTTTCAAGGATCAGGATTTGGGCTTAGTTACAGAAGAGGTTCTTTCACTTGGTTCCAGTGAACCAAACTCTTAATGCTTCAGCATAACAAGACATTTTGGACAATTTCATGCTCTTAACTTTGTGGGAGCAGTTTGGTGATGGCTGTTCTTGCTGTTCCAACATGACTGTGCACCAGTGCACAAACCAAGGTCCATGGACATGGATGAGACGTTTTTCTTATTTTTTGTTTTGTATGTATGCACACCTGTTCAACTGCTCATTAACATAAATATCAGCCAATCATGTGGCTGCAGCTAAATGCATTTAAGCATGTAGACATGTACTCATAAAAGACAGGCTGAGATTTAAACTGAACATCGTGGGGAAGAAAAGAAATTGATGTGACTTTGAGTGGCACGATTGTTTTTATCACACAGTATTTGAAAAACTGCTGATCTTATGGGATTTTCCTACATACATCTGTAGGGTTTACAGAGAATGGTTTGAAAAAGAAAACATAGCCAGTTAGCAGCAGTTTGGACAATAGAAGAAAAACATAGCCTGGTGTGATGAGTTTTGATTTCTGCTTTGACATTTGGATGGTAGGGTCATTCGATTGTCACAAACAGCATAACTGTATGGATCCATCCTGCCTTGCATCAGTGGCTCAGGCTGCTGGTATTGCTGCTGACCATGTCCATCCCTTTATGACCACAGTGTACCCATCTTCAGAGGGCTCCTTCCAGGAGGATAATGCACCATGTCAAAAAGCGCAAATCATTAGAAATACCGGTTTCTGGAACACAGAAAGGAGTTCAATGCACTCAAATGAACTCCACAGTGAACAGATTTCAATCCAATAGAGCCCCTTTGGGATGTGGTAGAACAGGAGATCCACATTGTGAATGTGCATGTGTGATGTTATCATTGTAATATGGAGCAAAATGTGTTTCCAGCACCTTGCTGGGTCTATGCCGTGAAGAATTAAGGCAGTTCTGAAGGCAAAAGAGGTCCAACCCAGTATGAAGTGGGTCTATATATAAACTCACCGGCCACTTCATTAGTAAGATTTGCTGTGGAAATTCTCCCTGTTTCTGATGCTAACTTTGAATTAACATGTTGAAGTGCTTAAACACTTTTTTGACTGCACTGTGCTAAGTGTTGTGGAGGGGGATTATGGTGTGGGGCTGTTTTTCAGGGTTTGGGCTTAGTGTATGAAGAGTTCCTTTCACTTAGTTCCAGTAATACAAACTTGTAATACGTCAGCATACCAAGACATTTTGGACAATTTCATGCTCCTAACATTGCAGGAATTTGGGGATGACCCCTTCTTGTTCCAACATGATTGAGCACCAGTGCACTAAGCAAGGTCCATGAAGACATGGGTGAGTGACTTTGGTGTGGAAGAACCTCATTGGCCTGCATAGTCCTAACCTCAACCTGATAAAACACCTTTGGGATGAAGTAGAGTGCAAACTGTGAACCCATCAGTGTCTGACCTCACAGTAGAATGGTCAAAAACTCCTACAAACACACCCATAAACCTTGTGGAAACTCTTTCCAGAAGAGTTTAAGCTGTTGTAGCTTCAAAGGGTAGGCCGACATCATATTACACCGTATGGCTTAAGAGTGGCATGTCACGCACGTGAAGACAAACAAGCGACAAACATCCATTGTTTCAGACAATAGATGAACCAAGAGACGGCACCACAGCCCAGCATCAGATTAATACGTATTACTTTGAACTGTGAATCATGCTGCCAAACATAAAAACATACAGAGTTGGAAATAGTCATAGCTCCCCTCTTAATCAGAGGGGAGCTATGACCTTGTTCATGCAAAAGTTCACCTTGTTCATGCAAAACTAAATTTTGATGGCATCTCTTGTTGTAGCAGGTACCAAACTAGTTTTGTGACTGAAAAGCATGTTTAGTTTTCAAAATATCCCATGCCTATGGATGCACTCTGCACTATTAAAAATCACAATAGCAGTAGCACATACTCACACAGCCTTGTAAGTGTTATAACTACCCCTTACTTTTTATGAAGATCAACATCCATAGTTAGTTTAAATGTTAAATAATTTTCTTCCTATTCAACCATTAAACATTTCAGTCTCAAAAAACTGCATCCAAATATGCACATCGCTCACTATAATAATATAAGCAGTATAAGTAATAATATAAGTATAATAATATAAGGCTATGTAATAATATAAGGCTAATTGTGTGTGCATGTGTGTGCGTGCCAGTCTGTGTGTGCTTTAGCAGAGGTCAGTGCGAGGTCGTTCCTGCATGCTACGTATTGCTAGTCAAGATGACTGTTCGTGGCAGGTCAGAATGACCCTCAGGCCACGGAGAAATGTCCCGGCGCTCCCGAGGGGCTGTTAGCGTGTGTTGTCGTCCGTCATTGTACTCTGAATATTAAACCAACCGTCATGGCAAAGTCAATCTGTGCATATTACATTTGTGCTCTAATGTCATGTCTCCAATGATAAGTGTTTCAATTTTCTCTCTACAGAGCTCCATGTACTCTCTGGCCCTGAAGTGTCTGATCAGCCTGTCCACTGTCATCCTGCTGGGGCTCATCATTGCTTACCACGCGCGGGAGGTTCAGGTAAAACATATGTGCATGTGTTGTGTCTCGCTTTACTGATCCAGACAAAAAGATGAAGTTAAAATTTAAAAAAATCACACACACATAGCAGACTGTAATACAACAAGTTGCTATTAAATCTCTGGGTAGGCAATATCTCTTTTGCACTACTGGACAAAGAAAATCCATGATAACCTTTCTGCATATTGTGATTCAAATTAAGAGGGAACCAGACGTCTGCACCTCCCCTGGGCTTTGCTTCCGGGCTTTAGAAAATTTAGCTCATAATGCCAGCCTTTGGTCAACAAAGGGAGACTGACAAGTGAAGGTTTGTACCCCTTAAACCTGCACTTTTTTCTACTGGCCGGCCGGGGGCAACCCCTCAGGTCACAAAAAGAAGCCTGATTTTTATTGCAACATACAACAAAACAAAACTCCTTTCTTTATTTACAGCCTCAGTAAACACGTTCTAATGAGTGGCGTCAAGTCTTATTTTGTAATTTATGGTCCAATTTAGAGTAAAGTAGTCAGTCTGGAGCATCTTCAGTTCTCACTCAGATATGTCTTTTACATACAGTCTGAGGTCTCTTCAGGACAGACGGAGTGACTTGTGTAAGATGTTATAAAAACCTAAGAAATCCAAGGATGGAAATAAGATGTGATGCAGTGGGTTAGGCAGAGAGCTGTCAGTTTGGAGACCAGGGGTTGAATCCTTTGTGACGCCAATAGCATATGATGAGCCAATGCTCATCTGGTGGGAGGGGAGAGCTGCATGAAGACGGGTGTCTAGTTTAAAGTTCAGGCATTTTTTTTTCTTTTTCTAAATTTCTACATTTTAGAATCTGGGAAGTTCCTGAAACGGCAGCTATGTTTATTGTGTTTCTCTTTTCTTATGAGCCTCATCTGTGCTCTGTCCAAATTGTACACATTATGTTATCATCCCTTAGCCCTCTGAGACAGAGGGACCCAGATGTGTGTCGAATCCAGCCAATTAATGGCATTAATGACAGTCTTTGTGGGATCGACAAAACAGTCTTTGCGTGAAGTACATACACACCGAATGTTAAATACATATTCAGCCAATTACAGCCCTGTCATTCAATAGCTGCACAAAAAGCACAAATAAATATGCAAACACTCACACACGAGTCACACAAACACAGCCTTACAACCCCTTGTAAGTTCGAAATGATCAATCAGAAAGGCTTTCATGCTTCATGATATCTGTTTTGCTGTTTGTCATTTTACTAATACAATGGTAGCAAAGTCATTTAGCCGGGGATTTCATCCGAAGCCATTTGCAATCGATGTGCATTGACTATTTATGGGAGCCTTGCGGGAATCAGACCCAATGAATACCCCCACACCAGCTATTACACCCACCAACGAAACCACGGAGCCACACTCATCCATCTAACGATGTGCTGGTTTAATGCTGTGATTTTTTTTTATTACATCACAGCTTGGCTGTTGCTGGAAATGTCTATTAAAGTTCTGCTCTGAGGTTCAGGCTCTCCGTTCGCAGATCGATAACTGCTCGGTGATTTTTTATTCACTGTCGTACACAGGCACTGATAGGCTGGTAATTAGTCTTGGACAGTATTAAGAAGCCAGAACAGTGCGCGGAAGTGGTGCGAGTGAATAAACGTAGATGCGGTTTAGCGTTCATTGATAAAAGACCCTTCGTTTCTGCTCACAAATGTGTTGTCTCATTCACATACAGAGTCAGTCATCCACCCACACATGCTGTGGCTTCCACACGTGACAGGAACGTTAATACCGACAGAAGAACAGGAGATTGAGAGCGGCTACTGTCAGGCCAACAGAGAGAGATAAAAGGGTGTTCTGTTAATCTACTTCAGGAATAATTCCTTTTGATTAAATGAAGTTAGGAGTTTGGGGAAAATACCTTCAAGGTATACTTGGGTGGGAATGCCAGATGGATGGGGGTGGTAATGTTGGGGTTTACCTGCAATCACTTTTCATGGGTGAATTAGAATGGTGATAATTTACACACATTATGTAAGCTGACAGACAGTTATATATTTGTTCTTTCTTCCTTTGGATGTTGTTTCTAATACTAACAGTGCTAACACTGTACTTACAAGAATTGCTAAGCCTAGAGACCTGGTTGCCGAGTTCCTGTCAACCAGTAGTTGCTGAAGGTTGCTGGGAATCACGATGAAATTGGTTGCTAGGACACAGCCACCTGCAATACAGCCTCCCCCAATCCCCGTTGCTAAGTGAAACTGATCGCAAAGATGTGTATATGGTGGTGTACTGTAAACCTGCATGCAATTGCTTTGGTTGCTAGGAGACTGATGCAGTTGCCCATAGTTTGTATGGAAGATATCAACTTGTCTGCAAATGATTCGCTAACAGTAGTTAGCACACTTTCTGTGCAAACACTTGCAAACTACACATTTTACTAATTGTGAAACTGATGCAAACTGGAAACAGAGAAAGTAAAAGTAAAAGCTGCCCCTTTTCAAACATGTTGGTTTCAGCAGTAAGGCACAATTTTTAATTTGAAGATGAATTGTCTTTGTATCCAGTAAGTAAATGGCTTCTGCATTAGCCTTATGCCATATGGGTGACTTACAAGTGAGCTAAACCAGCGCTATCAGATTTCTTACGTTTCAGTATTGCTAGCTGGTTAGTTGGCAAGTGTTCGCAGCGTCAACGTCTTCCATGTAAACTACAGCCGATAATGGCAGTCTACCTTAAACCAAAGCAAATGCAAGGAGGTTTTTAATGCAGCATCATCTTCACAATCAATTTCTCCCAGCAACAGCGAGCAACCTCTAGCAACCGCACACCAACTAGGGGTAATACATATTTTTGTGATCAGATTTTCCAAAACATTCCATTAAAAGTCAAACCAAAGTTGAGGAAACCTGAAATAATCGTAACTTTTCCTCAAATGTTTGACCAGAAACGCTGCAAATAGAAACACAACTAAAGCATAGTTAAAATTTAAATAAACAAATGTCGAAGTGAAAGCCTTAAATTCCAGGTTTTTCTGGTCTAGAAGTAATAATACTTCCTGGAACAGAGCCTTTCTCAGCAATATATCATGTAGAGCTCGTGACGTGTCTGCCTGCTCCTGGTGCCTCGCGAACTAGAGCAGCCACAAAAAATTAAGGATGATTAAATATTGATTGTGTGTATCTCCTGTTTAGAAATGTTACAATGACTGATGCTGACTACCGTTTTGAACCTTAGGGTGTGTTTTGTCTTTCCACTTCTCCATCGACTCAGTCACTCATCCTGCGTTTGCTACAAAGTGAACTTATAGAGAACAAGTGCTGACAGCTGCTGCTACATTATTTACACTCCACTTGATGTAATGCTGCCACATAACTATACAGCAGATATTTATAATTATATCAGTCACATAAACAAACTATAGAACGGCACGTGTACTTGAGGCCTTAAAGCACAGCTGTTTTTCGATAAGTACATGTTGGAATTGACATATTTCTTCACAACACAAAAGAAAAATTTATAACACAAACCTCTCTACAGGTAAACTTTATTTACAAAGTGAACTGTTTCAACCTAGACAAACACAGTGGAGACTGCAGCTGTACCAATATATAATAATCTTATAAATGATAAAATTATAAAAATAAAAGCGAATTGAGGACTCATTCAGAGCACTCACATGCAATAAAATAACACTTTTTATTTTAGTTCCATAGTTATAACCTGTGTGCAAATATATCTTTAGCTACTTAACTCATTTTAATAATCATTTTTGAAATCCTGATGCCCAGAAAGAGACGAACTACTGCAAAGGTTGAGATGGCTGAGAAGTGTTGTGCTTACCAGGCACTGATGACCAGCAACAAAATCTTTATTTCACTGCTGCTTTTGTTGCATCTAAGCAGAGGCAGATAGACCTAAAAAAAACAGCTCGCTCATTATATACTAGCAAACAACTCAAATACAGTCCTGTAATTTGGTATTGTGGCCGTCAATTCATTTTTTTAATGTGTTTTAAAACCACAACTGGCCAGTTTGTGCTACAGCTGGGGAATTATCAGCTAATCCGATCACTGGCTTACTTGCCTATTTAGCAAGGTGTACTATAATTCACTACAATGCTAAATGCGATGTGGATCTTTTTTTCTAGAAAAATAGGCTTAGATGTGTGTACCTGCTTGAGATACTGAGCAGCTCTCTCTTCAGTGTGCTTTTTGTTAATGTAGAAAATGAGGCCCTTAATTATGGGTGACTTGGATAAAAGTTTCTTTGTACACTCATCACAAATGGTGAAGTTAGCTTTAGAGGGCAAAACGGCTTTTATATGAGACTGTAAACAAGTTTATTTCCACTGTTAAACTGAACATTTTCACAGTAGATGAGTCAGTGCCATTGAATGGATCTTTTTCCCATAAATTTGTGATTTTTTTTTCTGTAAACTTGCAGGACTTTTCTAAGATGTAAAACTTTTCAAGTGTTCTCTCATAAATTTTTAGTTCTTTCTTGTAAATTTGCATGGGTTTTATTTGTGGGGTTTACTCCTAAATATGTCTTTGTTTTGTTTTTTCAAAACAAAATGTAATTAAAACAGGAATTAGAATATAAAGTGTGTCATGAGAGTGAGAGGTAGCAGTTTATTTTCTTGTAGTTTTTTTTTTGTATGCATACAAATGTGCTTAAATGTTGAGATGCATCCACTAAATGCATGCTAGTTATGCTGGCTGCTCAAGGCTGCCTGTTTGCTTAGATGCATGTCA